TTTTTTTTTTTTTTTTTTTTTTTTTTTTTTTCTTAGATATTATATATACAAATGTTGGGGAACCGGAGAAGGCGGGGCGGCGGTCGTTACGAGTTCCACCGGGATAGGTTAACCGGCGTATAAACCTAGTCATCCAAATATGGGGAAAATAATAACTGTAGAAAGTACAAGCATAATATATACATATATATACAATATGCGCTATATATGAATATATATATGTGTATATAAAATATTGTGTACATTGTTGCGAAACTTGACGCGGGAAAATCGAGGGGGGCACATCGCGCGGGCCACCACTATATATTATATAATTTATGTACATTGCACAAATATATTGAGTTGGGGCACAGATCATTTAGGCCAATTTTACGTGCACAGCGTGTAACACGTTGATTTATCTGCGTACCCCCCTTTTTACTTATATTTATACAAACGCGCTAATTAAGGGTAAAAAAAAAAAAAAAAAAAAAAAAAAAAGAACAAAATTGTCCTCGCGAGAGTTGGCACATATAAAAGGTAATAAAATTGCCTGTTGGAAAAGCGCACAGAGGGAGGGGAAACAGAAAAGTGCGCCCAAAAAAATTAGGCAACGCTCGGGGGTAACAAATATGTACATGTGAGGTACTACCTCACTAGCGAAGATATGTATACATGTAATACGTACATATATACATATATCTGCTCCTATGTGCATGCGCGTATGTACGCTTTTGTTCTTTTGTTCTTTTGTTCTTTTATATGTTTTCCCCCACATGTTTATATGAGCCCACTCGTTCATACATGTGTGGTGGTTTTGCCAAATCTGCCTCTTCTTTCCCTTTTTTTTCCCAAGAGCAGAAGCGCCCCTACTAAGTAACATGCCCCTAAACGGGGTAATAATATTAGAAACCTTCTGATATATTATGCCACCCAGTGATGGTAGACGACGTCATCGGGGGGTAGTGGAGTCTGTGGTGGTAATGGCACCAATGCGGCTGCGGAGTATCATATCCCTTCCGCGTGCCGACTTTCGTTTTACACCTTCGTACTGGTTCTAATGCCCAAAAGGCACTATTGGCGAATTGGCCGATGTTCTGCTACACGTTTAGCAACTCTACTTGTGCTGCCTGCTACCATCCTGTCGCAAAGGAAAGAGGGGACGGGGGTTACCCACTAATAGGTAGGACTAGTAATTCCCCCCACACATATGTATACACACACATGCCAGCAAGCACAGCGCTATATTGTGTGAAGTGAAGGGGAAAAAAAAAAAAAAAAAAAAAGAGACCAGCGCGATGAACCAAATGATGGAGGACAAAGTGGAGGAACCCGTTTTCGAAGACGAGGAAGATGAAAACGTGTATGACAATTTCAACGCAGAGATTCATGTTAACAAGGGAACGAGTGGCCATGAAGAAAATGATACACTCGTTGAAGATGCTAGCAAGAGCGAGACGGAATGTTCTACCTCCTCGCAATCGTCCAACCAGGACGACAAGGATGAGGCGGACAGTCAAAGCAGTCACAAAGAGGGACAACAGAGTAGTAATAAGAGTCCATTAGAGGAGGGAAAAGATGAAAAGAATAGTAAGGAAAAGAAGGAAGAAAAAAAAAAAAAAAAAAAAGCGATTTGGAAAAAGGAAAAAAAGAAAATGATATAAAATTAGCAGTTAAAATTGCACTGCAGGTGTTACTAAAAAATCAGCCCTTTCCAGTGAAGAGAGAAGATTTATTTTCGGTGATTAATATTTTTGTACCAAACTGTAACAACAATGTTAAAAAAAAAAAAGCTATTTTGACCTTGTTAGAAAAAAAGGTAAAAAATGTTTTGGCCTTAAATTTGCTAACGCTGAATTCCAAAACGAAGACTGAATATGTATTAACGCAATGTATAACATACAGAAAGCATAACGAATTTTTATTGTCCAATATGGATCATCAAATACGGGGGTTCCTCATTTTCCTCATTCCATTTTTCAATGTGTTTCATAATAAAATCCCGCTGAATTATTTACTATACGAGTTAAATAATGTAGGACATGAGTTGTTAAAAACAAAAGAAGAAGTGGTGAAAATTTTGAGTTCCCCAACTGTTCTCTCCACCATAGCTAACCATATTCTAATGACAAAGGAGCTGGTGGACCCTCTGGACTATTTAATATATGCCAAAAAATTATCCTACATCGATTTTAGTAATAACCATCAGTACGATGAGAGCTCCTTAGATGGGTTTTACTGCATACCCACTGCTCGGTTCGAAAGCGAAGTTCACATGAAGCAGTACATAACGGATCTGCTTAGTGTCCCCAATAAAACCTTTCAGCTCAAGGATGTGTATGTCCTATTTGAGGAGAAGTACTTCTTGGACATTAACTACGACAATTTGTGAGGCGTTGCGATGGGGTCGAGAAGGATGGAGGGGGCCACCCGCATCCAATGACCCTCATTCAGTATAACTGCCAACATTTCTGCCGCTGTCCCCACCAAATGGAGACACACGCGCCGTCGTGCTACATAAAAAAAAAAATTTCAAGAAAAATATTTGCACACATTTTTTGTCCAAATGTGAAATAAAATGGAGTTTAAAAAAAAAAAAAAAAAAAAATAGTGAGGGGAGATGAGGCATAATGTCTATGGGAACGGAACAGACAAAATAAAGTTTCATCTTATAGAGTAAACGGGTAAAGAATAAATGGGGTGTTTATTATTCTCCCCTTATGACAAAGTTGGACCACCTACAAAACGGTGTCCATCTGGCGGTCACATGTACGTACATCCTTTCTGTGCGAAAAAAAATTGGCACACACGTGCTGACACGCACGTAATACTGTCACGGCGACCTTCAAAAAAATAATAATAAAATAATAAAAAAAAAAACAACGTAAAAAGCGAGTTCCCTCTTGTTTACCCTGGCAGTGTAGAATTTGTTGTCTACGTGACATTCATTTGCTTTTTCAGATCATCCATTTGGTGTAAGCATGTGATCTACTTTGTTTATGTAGACCACGTTTTGCTATATTTTTTTTTTTTTTCCTTTTTTTGTGTAACCACACTACCGATTCCATGTGTGAAACGGTGAGATAATCTTAAATCATCCCACATGCAGGAAGAAACAAATGGAGTCCTGTGTTCCACCCTTATTCCGTCTTGTCCTCTTTTATAAGAAAATTTTTTAACTCATTCCACAATTTCATTCGTTCTTCGCCCTCCAAGCTGCCATCCAATTTTGCCGAATGAATTTTTTTATCAGAAAAGTACCAAAGGCTATAAATTTCATTTCCATCTGAGAAGGGAAATCCGTTTTTGTCCTTTACATTTATTGGAGGTCCCATTTCAAGTAAATTTTTTTGTTCCCTCAGGCACTCTGACTTTTGCACGTTATTTATATATTTATGGTATTGGGTTTGTATTAATATTCCTGTGCAGTTTTGACAGAACGTGCTTGGGTGCCATTCGCTAAATTGGCTTGTTTTATATTCGATATAATTACTTTCGTCTATGTCATCATAGCAAATAAGACACGTTAGATTTTCTGGTACCGCTTCTGCGTGTTTTTCTTCCTTTGTCACCTCTTCATGGTTCATTGCCGCGTCTGTACAAAAATCGTTTTTATCGTCCTCGTTCATATTTTTTTTTTTTTTTTTTTTTTTTTTTTTTTTTTTTTTTTTTTTTTTTTT